AAGTCAAAATTACAACGAACGAACATTATCTATGAGTTCAAATGCCTTTTTATGGTGCTGTGTTCTTGATCAAATCGAACTCATAAATAATTACATCGATCATATGCCTATCCAGACGCCTTACGTTATAACTATCTGACTAGAGCTCCATTTAAACACACACTCAAACCTATCAGATTCCATTCGAAACATACTAGCAGAAAACACAAACATCCACCTGTAAAAAAAAATATTAAAGATAATGGAAGCCCTAATAATAAAAAAGAAAAGGCCAACTGTTAACAATATTAAGTACGAACTAGGCCACAATGTACTAACCGTGTTCGGCAAATAAAACATCTCTCTATAACACACTAGATATATCGCACAAACTCAATTAAACTTAAAAAATAAAATCATCCTTCATAATGGCTAAAAGTAAAGACGAAAGCGCTCGGAATTATAGAACATTTTGACAGTTTCTACACACTCTGTGTCCAAAAAAGAAAATACTTGTTCGAACGCAAGAAAAAATAAATAAAAATGCTTAACCATAGTGTCTTGTCTGTCGTTTTTAATGAAACATGCATATATATATATATATATATATATATATATATAATTTAAATAAAAACAGACCACTTTAAGGCTCCATGTAATAAATTATTTCACCACGGCCCTTTTTAAAAAGAAGTGCGGATCATCAGACTTTACTTCAAAACAAAAAATGAAAAGAAAATTTTACACATTTTTGACGGGCCGTATTAAACATATGTAAAATAACGAAGTGAGGAAGTGAGGGGGGAGAGAGAAGACATGAGTGAGTTAGCAGATATTGACATATTTAAACGGTTAACTTAACGGAAGTTATATATTGATATCGAAGGGGTAGAGAAGAAAAACCCATAGAGAGAAAAAGAGAAAAGAGAAGATGTCACTAATTTTCTTTGTAAAAAAAGGCTAGAAACAGACGCTGTTATTTTGTTCTACTTTGAAAGTGTTATATATATATATATATATATATATATATATATATATATATATATATATATATACTTCTCGTGAAAGTGGACATTAAGGTCAACACCTAGAGATGGCTCTCATTTAAATAAAATATACCAATCACCATATATATTGATGTCTTCTGACGAGTGGACAGAATGTAGGCTTCTTCGGGTCAGAATGATATATATATATATATATATATATATATATATATATATATATATATATATATATATATATATATATATATAATTGTTAAATATAACGGACAATGAATGTCTATTATGTCTGATCATGAGCCGAACGAAACTTCGTATTAAATTTGCGTGAAAATAAAGACAAAAATTGTCCAATATTTGGATAATTTTTTAAGCTGGTCCTTTCGGCTTACATTGGCCATCTTCGGAGTGGTTATATGGACATTTATACAAAGATATTATTCACGATCAAAGATGATATTCTGCTATGTTGACTTAGAAGATTCCTATGCCATGATAATGGTCGTTGAATAGTAGACGCAGGTCGTAAATTCATGATGCGATTCTATGACGTCGTACATATATATGTGTGTGTAGGTGGGAGTGTTTTAATATTAAATAGTTAACATCTGCTTGCGTCCACCGGTCGAAATGAAAAAAAAACAAAACAGTGCGATATTTGTACTAAAGACCTAAATTAATGTTTGTTAGGCGTTTTACGGTTGGAATAACAGATTCCTTAAGAAGAAAATGGATTGAGAGTGTGTTGCTCTCACGGTTCACTACGATAAACCAAAAACAAAGCTCATATATAAAATCACGAACATTGCAAAAGTAATATGCGAGCTGGTGGAGGGTGTACCGGGGATCTGTTCGGAGTGGGCGAATTTCAAGTCGAGCAGATGTTAATGACTTAAAAGAAAAATGACTTAGTTCTTTTTTAAATAACAAACAGGCGTTACCAACTTTAGTACAAAAATTACAGTTTTCTTCATTCCAACCGGAAGACCCTAGTCTAAAAAAAAAACAAAAAAAAAAACAGATAATAAATGTTGATATTAAAACACATCTACACGCACACACACACACACACACACACATATCCGAACACACACACACACATACACACACACATCCACACACACACACACACACACACACACACACACACACACACACACACATCCACACACACACACACATACACACACACACATACACACACACACACATCCGAACACACACACACACATTTATTTCATTCTGAGCCGAGGAAGCCTATCTAACGAAGGCAAAATGCTTAGTCTATAAAACATTAAAGAATATTATTATTTTAATTAATAATCTAGGCTTCTGATTATTGAATAAAATAATTAACGGTTAGCTAGATATTTCATGAGTGTGGTAAATTTTACAAACAGGAAACTTGCCTTGAAGTGTATTAAGGTAAGGAGATTTATTTAACCACATCCCCACTTAGGTTGTGATTCAAAATCTGGTTTTAACGTGGGTAGTCGAGTGTTTTCGTTCGGGCCGCTGGCCTAAGCTGGTCCAAACTGGTCAGAGCTCCGTCTAAGCTAGTCATAACCGGTGATACCACATGTGCCAGGTAAATATGAAATGATTTTCTAAGCGTAGCTTATATGCGGCACGAGGTGTGTGTGTGTGGGGGCGTATAACCCAGTGAAGATCGAACTCAATATTCAATCGTAATTGATAATACGAGACAAGTTTGCTACACCACGTCCAAGTGCCCGAATGATTCTAGGTGTAGCATAGATGTGGCCCAAGGCCGAAAAGTATGGGGCACCCAGTGAGGATCGTAATTGACCTAGCGAGGCAAGCTTGCTAACCATTAAACCACGCCCGAATGATTATCTAAGTGTAGTTTAGATGTGGCACAAGGTCGAAAGTATGGGACACCTAGTGAGAATCAAACTCACTATTCAATCATAATTGATCGAGCGAGACAAGCTTGTTAGCCATCACACCACGTCGAAGTGCCCGAAGTGTATTAAGGTAAGACAGCGAGATAACCCTGAACTGGTTTGAACGTAAGACACGGTTTTATCGCCTTTTTGTATTTGTTTGCGTGTTCAGAGAAGAAAATAAGTCAGACAACGTATTTCTTTATTTTTACTTTTCTTTTCTTTTTCGACGTTTTCCGATTGAATTCGGTGTTTGGAAAGAACTGTGTTTGACACTCTGTTATAGCAACGTTTCCATTAATAACAATCTTCAATTAATTAGATCGTTCTGGAGTTTTCATTTTCTAACCTATCTGTGCGGATTTCTGAGCGTTTATTTTTTGTTTTTTGTTTCTTCTTTTTCGAAGAGTTCTATTTTACAGCTTTACACGTTCCATTACGATTTTTATTTCTTTATGATTTTGCTTTATGGAAAGTTTGGAACAACAATTTCTTTAAGACATCAGCCACAAAACAAAAAAAAAGAAAGAAAAAAGACGAATACGTGAAACAATGGTGTCAAGAGAACCGG